ACTGAAATTGAAAAAATGGTGAAGGGAATTCTAGAAACAGGTGCCATTAGACCGAGTTTAAGTCCCTTCTCATCACCAACTCTGTTGGTAAAAAAAGACGGAACTTGGAGGTTTTGTGTTGACTATCATGCCTTAACTCAAGTAATTGTGCCAAACCGGTTTCTAATCCCAACTGTAGATGAGATGTTAGACGAATTGGCTGGATCAGTGATATTCTCCAAAATGGACCTTCGGTCAGGGTACCATTAACTCAGAATGGCACCATAAGACATCCACAAAACCACTTTTAGAACACATGAAAGGCATTATGAATTTGTAGTGATGCTCTTTAGGCTCACAAATAGTCCAACCCGAATACAACACATTTTTATTCGTGGGTCAAGAATCGAAACCAGGACACGACCCGTCACGGGTCGCGGGTTGACCCGCAAAAATTGAAAATTTGATTTTGTTTCTAAAAAAATTAAAAATAAAAGGGAAAATCATAATGAAACCCGTGACTCGCAACAAGGTATGTTAAAATCACCAAAATTTTAAACTTTTTTTTCATTTTTTTGACAAAAATAATTTTGCTTACACACAGCAAGGGTCCATAACAAGACAGAAAATTAAAACGTACAACTAGGAAAATATAAAGGCAGAAGCTATCTTAAGCAAATAGCATCTGAAACAGTGCTTACAAAATTACAAATTAAAAACCCTAAAAATAGAACAGAACTGACAGACAATAAAAATAAAATCAGAGAGACGAAGAGAAGAAGAGAGAGAGGTCCTACAATGCTTTTCTCTCTTTTTATAGCCGCTCCTTCTTCCTGCAAAACGGGTCACTCCTCAACCCGCACGTTTGCTCCACGCTCCTCTCTATTGTGCGTTTCCCTTGCACGAGTAACCAACGCACTCCAAGGGAATCTTCAGCCCACGCTCCCAATCGATTACAGCTCACCAAATTGGTTAAAGAACGTGTTTGGCTTTTTCTGTATCAAAGGAAATGATTAGGGTCAGTGTGTAGGTTGGTTTGGTCACAAAATAAACCGTGGGTGAGGCTAAGGGTGGGTGGTTTCAACTGAAATCAAAGGACGGTCTGGATTGGTGAAAGGATTCAGAGGGATCGATTGAGATGAGGGTCTGGATAGAGGTGGTTTGAGGGGTTAGGGTTTGCAAGTATCGGTTCTTTTCTGATTTCTGTTTTCACTGAGTCACTTTTGTTTCCCATCTTTTTTCTTTCCTTCATTTCTTTCTTTTCTTTTGGGCTTTTGATTAGCCTTCCCACAGGACCGGCCCATTCTTTCCTTCCTTTCTCTATTCTTTTCCTTTTTTTCCCTTTTGCTTTTTGATTTGCAAGGTAAAAACTCCAGCCCAAGCTTTTTCTTTATATTTTTTCTCTTTGCTTTGCATGGACAAAATCAGTAATTAGGCCTGCAAAATATAAAATCAGCCCATTAGCATTTAAAATCAAAATCCTTCATTTCTATGCAATTTTTGGGATTTATATTAAACAAACGATACTCTTTCCATTCATATTTTCTCATTAAATCACATGTTCCAAGTCACATATCATGGACTTATCACGAATCTTTCTGCTCAAGACAATTATCGAATTGACTAGTTGTCTTTACTTCTAAATGGTCCCTCCATTTTGTATTTCAAAGCAATAAGTTATAGATATAAATCATTTCCCCAACATATATCTTATAGAGATATATATGTGAATGGTTATTTTTTTTTCAGATTACATTACTTGTTTTATACAGGAAATATTGTAAATTTGAAAAATGGAAAAGTAAAAAATTAGACAGAGATCGAATTCATATTATCATATCAAGCACACTACTGTAAATAGTATCTGAGGGTTAGTCTAATCGTTAAGGAGGTATAATTAAGCATTTAATTTTATTTTTGATTAAATTATAACTTTGGCATACTATATTTTGTCCATTTGAAAACTTATTTCAATATAACTGGTTTTTCACAATTGATGCCTAAATAACTGATTTTTGCACTCCTAAGTTATTGCTCAAAAAGAATATTTCAAACATGGGAAGGGACATGATGAACAGAACTTGTATTGTCAACAAAAAATGGTTCTTAAGGAGACAACATACATGGTGCTCCCAGTGCATGTAAAATGTTCCCATGTTAAGTGATTACATTACATATATAGCCACAAATAAGATGGGAAGAAGGGTGGATGGTGGGTGATACAACAGACACATTTTGTATGCTTGGAATAAAAGCATTTTTTTTTCTAAAAATTATGTTGAGTATGGAGTAATATGACCATTGGGTTAATAGGTTGTCCTGTTTCAAAACCTTGTTTGTGGCAGTCAGAATGTTAAACTATTTTAGGGAGGACAGAACATGCCCTTCTTGACTATATAAAGTATATGTTATAAAAAAAATTATAATTATAAATATATATATATATAATTAATTAATTCAAAAAAAAGTATAAGTAGCTTATATAAGATTGAAAAAAGATAGGTACACGTGAAGGTAGCGAAGTGAGCATCTCGTCTCACCCCATCATCAATCCGCCAAAAAAAAAAGTTAGTTCGTCTCGTCTTGTTTGGCGGGCTAGGAGGGTTAGCCCTCAATCCGAGCCTATTTTATACTAATCTGCTTATGCTCGCCACCCACCAAAAAACTAGCTCGCTCCACTTTTGAGATAAATTGTAAAACTCAACCCGTCACATCCTGTTTAACCGGTGGGACAGGTTGGCGTGCCGACGAGCCCGTTTTGCTGCTCTAGATGTACGCCGGGTCAAATCAAAGTAACCAAAACAGAAAACTGTGAAAATGAATATGGACCACTCATGAGAAGTAGCACTAAGCAGCCAATAAAAATCTTCCAAAGAATATCCCAAACTGTGAGAATATCCCATTGGCATTCCTTCCTATGTGCCACTGTATGCAAGGTAGACCAAAACATCCCTTCTATATAACACATATTCTCACAAAACCTCAAGGCCCATTACCCTTTTCAAGTTTCTATATAAACCAGACTAGTTTTGCTTCAACCATCATTTGAAACAAAACAATAAGCTAAAAAAAAACTAGAGAAAGCTTCTTACTTAGTGCTAAGAAAAATGTCTACCATGGTAGGGTTATGGATAGGGGAGATGGCAAAGCTAGGAGAGAAAGTTATGACCCACAAGAGCACCTTTTCCAAAGGCAAAAAGGGATCAGAAGACAAACAAGCAGTGAAAAAGGAAGCTAAAAATGACATTACAACCATGTCAGAGTCAGAGGCAACAGTGTGTTTGCTTATGGATAGATTTGTGCCTTGTTGATATGCTTATTAGGTTGCAAAAAGTGGTCTCTTTTCAAAGTTTGGGATTAGCATATAGCGTTAAATTTATGAACCTCTTTAAGATGTATGTGAAGTGATTTCATTTTCGTAGGATAAAAGGGTAAAAAATTTTATTTTGTCCATTGTTCTAGAGTGCAAGGCATCTTCTTTTCTAAGGGAGAGGCTTTTTTTTAGCTCCCTTATTCTGAAGGACTAGTAAAATTATAATAAAAATCTTGTAAGTATGAAGTTATGTTATATAACTTTTTATTCGTATTTCTATAAAATTAGTAAGTGCTAAAGTTTATAATTCCATCATACACATTTTATGATTTGCACTCGCACAACAAAAGTATAGTTTCAATAATAATGCACTTTAGAAAGAAAAGTATGACATTATAATCGTTGATTGAGAAATTAATGCCTGAAATTGTGATAATATATATATATATATATATATATATATATATATATATATATATATATATATATATTGAGAAGTTATTAAAATTGCTTTCTTAATTTTTTATTATTATTATAACTCCATACTTTTTCTTCTAAAAATACGGCCCTTATTTTGAAAGAGCCAATTCCATTTAAGTCTGATATTACACAACCAATACACTCATGCTCACAGGATCACCCCAAGGATACCAAGCAAATAGCCAATGGAGATATGTGACAAATACAATGACACACTTACACGTTTTAAGGGCCGCACCAGATGAGCTTTTTATTAATTTTCTTTAGTTATAACCGCACCTAATCAATATTTAAAAATGGTTATTAAATAACCGCCTTTTAATAGGTATATTTAGTGGCGGTTATATCTTAATCGTCTCTAAATATGCTATAAAGGCACGTAAAATAATCGATTCTAATGAATATTCAAAGATGATTATTAAATAATTGCCTTTAATTGGATGCCGTTATATCCTAACCGTCTCTAAATATTCTGCGGAAGCAATTAAAATAATCGTCCTAAATGAATATTCAGAGGTAATTATTATGTAACCGCATCATCAATATAAATGTTGGGAGAATCACCTCAAAATATAAATTGGAGGCGGTTTAAGAGAAATCGCTGCAAAACATTGATTTTCTTATAGTGTTATTATATTCCCAAGTTGCTAAATAGAAAAATAAATTAAGTTAAACAAGTGTACATTTTGACATGGCTTTTTCTTAGTTAATTATAGTATAGAAATTATTCTTCGATCTCTAGATCATAACATAATAATGAGTCAGGCTTGGCGACTAAAGATCTTGTCATGGTATTGATTAACTAACCTCATCTAGGCTCAATAACTACCAACGAAATCTTAGGGAAGAAATATCTTAAAAAATAAAAACAGAAATGAAATTTTGACATCATCTTATCAAATTGTATAGTATCACTAAATATCTGAGTGCTCATTTGTATCTATGCTTCTTAGCTTAAAAGTTTTGAACTTGCTAAATATCAGTGGTAAAGTGTTCTATAATCTATTTACAAAAAAAAAAAAAAAAAGTGTTCTATAATCTAGATATTTTTGTATCATAATAAAGGAAAGAACGAAGCAAATTCTTTTATACTGCATGGATATTTTTGCAAACGTGTGAACCATACTTTCAGCTTGTCAGAAAAATAGAAGAAAAATTTATCTCCATTTCATATTAAAGATCACAAAATGGCAAACTCTTGCCCCATTGTGTTTGGTAGTGTTCAAGTACATGTATACATAGAATAAAAAGCTCTAATCCAAATACCTAATGAATGGATGGTGTGGAATGAAATGGAACATAACAGAATCTATTTCACTCCATTCTTTTTTCTCGGATTTGTGGGGTATGAGATAGAATTAACTAATTACTTACTAGCCTCTTTATTACTTCATTCACTTCCCAAATAATAAAATAGAAACTTCCCTCCATCGCATTATAAAATATCCAAACAATGGTATGGTATGGTATTTTTTTTTCTTTTTCCCATTCTATCACATTCCATTTCACCCATCATTAGATATAACCAAAGATAACCCTTATGAGAATCCATGAACTCTTCTAAGCCCTTTATAGAACAATGTCTATCCAGAAACAGCCTTTGTACAAATATTTTGGAGGAAACTTTATGAGGAACTTGCCTCAATGCTAGTTGAAGTTGTCTCGAACTTCTCATTTACAAAAGAGGGATCCCATTCTTCCCACACCATAACCTCCCTAGCATATCTGAGAGCTTCATCAATAGTATCAGGTTCCAATCCAGTAACCAATGAAACAAACAGCTTTCTGCCAGTGAGAGAATGGAACAATCTCTTAAACTTCACAGCAATATATTGAAAAGCATGTTGAGCTACTGGAGGGCTATTGCTTTTGTTATTGTTATTGTTAGGGTTACTAGCTCTGTTATGATTGTGGCTGATAACTGGATTGAAATCACAAAACCATTCACATAGTTTCAGAGGAGCCAGATCAATCTTTTCTTCAAGTAGATCAAATTTGGTCAGTATTAAAAGAAATTTCTTGTTTTTGAAGGATGGATGAGCAATGATGTTTTCAAAGAGATGCTTAGCTGCCAACATTTTGTTGGTAGCAACTCCTGTACTTTCTACAGTGTACTCATGATAGTCAGTTAAGGCCACAGAGAACAATACAACATTGGTGTCTTCAAACATCTCCAACCGCTTGCAGTTTTCTCCAAGGCTTTTAGGATGTACTCTGATCAGTTGGTATCTATAAGTAGAACACAAAGTGTGGTAAGAAAACAATTGACAACTGATAGCATGAGCTCAACCTTATTCATACTGTGTTATCATGACATTGTGAGTCCTTTTTATTGAGTATTCTTTTCAAAAGATGTATAATGATTGAATAAAATGATAAATACTGAAAATGTGTGCATGTGTAGGTGATCTATAACAAAACATGCTTGCACACTACTCTTGCCAAATTGTTTTATTATCAAGTCTAGACTTGAGTGGTATTAGCTAGCTTTCATTTTGGAACAAAAATAAGCTTTAGTGCATCACCGTAAGCTATGAAGCACCGATACTCTGAATTTTTTTTTCCAATGTATCCGATACGCGTATCGGAAACGTATTGTATCGTATCGACGAATTAACGGTCATATCGAGAACGTATCGAAAACACCGTGTCGGAGTCGGTGCTTCATAGACCGTAAGTGAGAATTATTAGTGGAAGCTACTGGATGTTAACTCAATTCAAAAAGTAACAAGTTCTTATGTGATAAACTGCATGAAATGACAGAGCTGACCTGAGAGAAGATTCATGTTGATATTCAGGGTACAAAGAATCCTCACTCCTTGACTTGGGAAATGAATATTCCATTGAAGTGAGGCTGTTGGATAATGATATCCCCTCAGCATACAAGATGTCCATATCAGAAGGTTTATAGTCCATCTTGGAAATTTTGGTAGCCTGCATTCAGAGAGATAGTTAGATATCGATGAAAAGCTAGTGTTTATTGATGTGATGCACCTGCCACATTCATGGCCAAATAATTTGACAATCTAAAGGATTTAGTCATTTATTGTTGAGACAATAAATTGTTCATTGAAAAATAATGAATTAAACTAGTTTAAAGATTTTTTGTACTGCCCAGATTCTTAAAATCTCAGTACCAAATTACCACTGAACTGATTTAGATAGTCTCCATGCCTTGTTGAAACACAAGGCGTCCAAAAGGGGTTAAATGAGAAAAAGAAAAGAATAAGACTGTAAGAGCACTGATACAATGATAAACCCTTATTCAAATCCTATATTTGTCAATTTATTGTTTTATTTAGGCTTCTGATTTTGTGCCAAATAATTAATGATCCAAACTCCATGCCCAAACAGAAGGAACAAAGAATATGAAAACAAATTATAAATTCAACAAATTCAATAATCAAATTGGCTTCATTAACACAAACAAGTGAATAATCATGTGATGATGATTACATGGACAATCAAGTATTATCTTACCCGGTCTAGAAAGTAGTTTGCACTTCTAGGTAGCAATTTGAGTTCATTTCTCCTGTTGTATGTGGCCTGAATGGCCTCATCCCTCCACAAATCCTCCACAAGTGGCCCATATTCACGTGTAGCAGCTGGAAATATTGCATCCAGGTTACCTGACCTCATGTATTTAAGTAGCCAATCTGAGAAATTTCTCAGTCGTGGGCCAATGGAATAGAGTGTTGAAGCAACACTATCACTGGTATTCCCTGCTGAGAACTAAAATTAATTACTTTCTCTCCATAACATACATAAATTTCCATGTAATGGCAGACAAGCTTCTTCTATCAGCTAATTAACAAGGGTCTATGTTAGAATTAAATATCCACACAGATGCAAGAGACAACCACACAGAAGTATCTACAAAAAAAACTTTTCTTTTTCTATTCTTGCTTTCTTGCTCTTTCTCTTTTTCTCTTGATCTACTGATCTACTTGATCTTCATTTCATACAAACTATGAAAGGCTATTTATAAGCTATAAAACTGACAAACATAACTCCACACATAACACCCTCATTACTTTATAACTGACTCATTAATATTCTAACTGACATAAGAAACTAAATAACCAAAACTGCTAAAAAACGGACATTTAAAATTTATCCCAACAAAACTCCCCCATAAATTTTTAAATTCTTCTTTGTTTCTTCACGTTGCTTCTGCTTTTCTTTAACTTTCTGATCGCGCCTGTTTTCTTCAATCTTGATCACTGACAAAAAACATCTAACACCTTCCAACTTAATTAACTCAAAAAAAATATCTCCCCTGCAATTATTTTTCTGAACATATTTTATTTTTGTCCGGCGGTTCCTTCAATTTAATATTTTCAGTTTCATTAGCCGGACTTTCCTTGTTTCCATTCACTGTATCTTCTTCACCTGCAAGTTTCTCGTCGCCCAAATTCTTCTCAGTTTCATTCGCCACTTCATCAGTTACTTTCACAATTTTATTTCCTCGTCCAATCCCAATTTCTGCATCATTGGTATTGTCAACAAAACCTCTTTTTCTCTTCAAGACCACATCATTTTCTTCAAATGCACCTTCCATTTTTTCGCCGTTCTCGGCTCCTTCATTGTCGTCTTCCTCGCACCTCCTCAATGGAATCTCGAACCAGTGACCTATGCCGGTCTCCGACATCAACCTCATCACGTCGGGGTCGAGCTCTTCTCCAAAACATGAACTCGGTGATTTACCCAACCCGGTTATCAACACGGAACTCGGATTCGCGGTCTCCTCCATGTCGGTCTCCATCAAGCACCTCGGCTTCTCAATTTCCTTTCCGATTTTCGACTCTGTCTCCAGACACTCAGGTTCCACGAAGTCTTCTACCTCGACAATGGACTCGTCGTTCCCGTCCTTCTCCGCTTCGATCTCGGCTCCTTCGTTCTCCTCATCTTCTATCTCGGCTCCTTCGGCCGCAGTCATCTCCATCGTCTTCTTCTCCGAGTTGTCCCTTACGCGCTCCGACACGTCAATCTCCTCCGCGGATGCGTTGCCGTTGGCAACTTCGGATTCCGCCATCTCGGTCTCTTCTTCATCCGCATCATTTTCCTCATCTTCATCATCATCATTGAAGATTTCATCTTCTTCATTAATCAGATCAAAACGTCCAGGCAAGTATTTTGTTACGAAGGTCATTAGAAAATCCTTCCACATATTATTAAAGTCGCGGCAGTTCCATGTACGGAACCATTTGATTGCGCTTCCTCTCAGTCTTCTCATGGCTATCTGCCATTTGTTCTCCGTCCAGATTTTTTCTTTCCGAAAATGTTCCTTCAAACAGAGAAGCCAATCTAATGCTTCATCCTTATCTCCATGGAAGAGTGGCACTTCCATCTCGTTCTTTTTCTCTATAGACCAAGCTCTGATACCAATTTGTTAGAATTAAATATCCACACAGATGCAAGAGACAACCACACAGAAGTATCTACAAAAAAAACTTTTCTTTTTCTATTCTTGCTTTCTTGCTCTTTCTCTTTTTCTCTTGATATACTGATCTACTTGATCTTCATTTCATACAAACTATGAAAGGCTATTTATAAGCTATAAAACTGACAAACATAACTCCACACATAACACCCTCATTACTTTATAACTGACATAACTGACTCATTAATATTCTAACTGACACAAGAAACTAAATAACCAAAACTGCTAAAAAACGGACATTTAAAATTTATCCCAACAGTCTACCGTCTTTTAGGAGCAATGTGAAAAAATAATGACAAAACTAAAGGTAAGATTTTTGTTTACAAGAATCAAAATCACAGTATACAAAGGCCCCAACAAAGTCATGAAGGTAATGGAAGTGTCAAAAGCATCAGTCCTCCACCAACACAAAATCATATAAACTACATATTATAGAAAAAGGAAGGCCCTGCATCCATTGCAGTTTGCAAGGGACTAAAAAAACATAGATTAACTGTTTTGTAGTTGAAAAAAGGAGGAAAATCATAGAAAAGTTGACAATTTTCCTGCTCTTGTTTTGAACATTGTTAAAGGAAGGTTGAATGGATAAGACAACTTATTTTACAGTCTACACTATCCAGAAATTTTTGAATAGGGAAAGTGTTCAAAACAATGCTGCCCCTTATTTCATCCATAGTCCAAACAGAAACAGGCCTGGATTGACTTTTTTATTTGAGGAAAAAAAATTACCAGATGAAGTGGATTCATCAACAGACCATCTTTTACTATTCTCCAGCAAACTCTCTTCTTCGAAATTTTCACGCCCCTCCAGCAGGATACCAAGGTAGGTAAAAAGATTGCTTTGGATCACCAACTTGATATTTTGGAGCTCATTTTCGGAGAAAGGAACATTATATATAAGCTTGGCCTGAGAAATATGATTCAGTTCTTAGTGTCACACAATGTCAAGGTTCTAATTAAAAACAAAGAGTAATTCAGACCTGCACTCAAATATTCACCACAAGAGGAAAGAAACTACAAACTTTGACAACTTATAACTTATATCAAGAAGTATCAAGAAGAAACTCTTAAGATACAGATTAAGCACTCAAAACTAATGTGACTGATAAGAATCCACAACTGAAGTTCTTATGCGCCAACATTGAAATTACACACAAGAACACACTCATAAATTAAGCATTTCTACTCATAAGTCAAAACTAACAAGGCTTAAGTCTGCCGGACAACTCCATATTTAGTTCTCCTATATCCAAAACTATATTGATAGGACATAACATAACCCGTATTATGACACGAGAAGTAAATTTAAGAGCTGAAATTTGTGAAGACGATACAATACCATCATCTGCACTTTCACAGCTATGCACATGATCTATAAATGAGTTATGGAGAGGTGAAAATTAGAAAAAGAATTGAGCTATCCTTCAGCATTTAAAATAACAGCATACGTCATTTAATTTACTGGTATCACATGTTCTTTGCTAGATCATTAAGCATGCATGCATGCATACCAATACAAGTGCATGGAAAAAAAAAATTGAGTTCTCTCAAGGAGTATCCTACCACTTTTAATATAGTACATGCTCCAGAATTGACAGAACCAACAAGTAGAAATTTGTGAAGTGTTTTATGTTGAATGTTGTCTTCATTAACTTTATTCGCTATTTCGCCTTCCCCAGAAGGAGACAGAGACTTTGAAGGAACTGGCAGAGACAGAATTGCACAAGCCAACTTTGCTCGATTCTGCAAAAGGGAAACCCATAATTATTGATGACACGTTTTAATACTCCTGTATCACATACTACACCCATTACAATTAAAAACACATCCACTCGCTTAAGTCCATGTATTTCTAATTTTAGTAAGTATGGTAATGTGCTATATAGAGGGCAAGAGCATCGATAAGATTGTTCCTTGTGACCGAAACGTCACAGATTTGAGTATGGGAAACTGTTTCTTTGCAAAAATACAAAGATAAGACTGCATATAATCAACCCTAACTCCTACCCTCGCAAGTTGGGAAGCCTTATGCACCGTGGTTAGTCCTTTATAGTATGTACTATAAAAAATAAAAAAACCACTCCCCGTTAAACACGACTAGCAAGTGTGGGGTGGAGGAAATCCTTGTACGCAGCCTTACTCTTGCATAATTGCAAAGAGGCTGTTTCCTGGATTCGAACCCATGACCTTTCAGTCATGAAGGAACTGTTTTACCACTGCTCCGATTCGCCCCCACTATAGGAGTACTAAAAATTAATGGAATCTCAACAATGATCACCTTATCCCATATACGCCCCCTGTCATTCTTCTGTCCCTCCTCCTGGCATGACCCATCAGCATTCACCCACAAGTTGAGAGTTCCTACACACGGCACTCCTGCCAGCTGCAAAAAACAATGTAATGTAACATTTAATACAAAACCATTTGCAATAAAATATGACAGTGTCCATAGCTCAACAACCTTCAGTATCCACAGCTCTTTCTTTGTAATATCGCGACCATTTATGGTCACTTTTGTGTTTCCATTGCTTGCATTTTCCTTCAACCGACCCCCAACATCCAATTGGGGGGTTATGATTTCACAAGGAGGTTGACCTTCCTGTATAATCAAGCAATACAGCAGATTAGAGCTTCATTTAGAAAAACACATTAAATGAGGTGAAAGATTCATGAATGAGATTTTTATGTGAAATTATCAATGAAGGCTCATTCCCCAATTTTCCAGCCTCATTGTATAAGGCATGTAGAAAGGGACCCTGGGCACAACAGTTGTCGCCACCACATGACAGGAGAACTCGTCACCACTTAGTCGGTGATACTATATAAGAAATCAATTCAACCTAAAAGATTAAGCCAGTTATATTAATAGTTTTGTATTTCTCTAATACTGTAGCATCTGGTAGCTCCATTGTCTAAGACATGCTAAAATAATCTTGGAGATGTGTCCATGGAGAGGTTGAGATTAAATAGATAATAATAAGTACTTGCTGAGGTTAATTTTTCACCTTTCCCCAAAATCCAGATGATTGATCATACCAATTGGATCCGGATTGTAGTTGCTTTGGTGGGTTTGGACAGTTGAGGAGCAACATGAGCTGTTTCCTATTAAGAGGTCCCAAGTTCACATGAACAAGCTCTGGTGGTATTTGATTTGCTTCACAAGACCTCTCATCTTGCATTATTTGAGCCACCAAGAACTCAGACAACAACTTCTTGAGCATCCGAGAACATTTCCCAAGCTTCCACCGCTTGTTCTCATCAATTCTGTATCCAATGCAAGTAACACATTTTCTTCCCTGTGGCATGGACCCCATTGCCCTTATGACACAGCTGCGGCAATACTTTGCACCACAAACAATGCAAACCTCCTTCTCAGTGAGACGATTCCCTTTAAGGAACCGATAGCAAGAACCTTTCTTCCCAGGTCTCACAGCTTGTGGCTTCGCAGGGACACTTCCCACTTGAGAATCACCAAACTCCTTATTATCTGTATCTACCATGTAACTTGACTCAGGATCAAGAAAGGTCACAGCAGAAAGATGCTTGACATGTTTTGGGCTTGGAGTTTCACTCTTATGTTCATTTTCACTGAGAGAACAAATCTCTGAAGAACCAGAAAGAGAACTTGAACTTGAACCTGATTCTGTGGTGTCAGAATTACTGTTAAACCCTCTGCCATCTCTATCATCACCAACAACCCCAGGTGCTTCCAAAGTGCCTGTACTCTTATGCAAATCAAAAGCAGTGTTTGATGATCCAAGTGCACCAGTATCCAAATTTGAAGACACAACAGAATCCTTGTGATTCTTTTTGTGATGAGTTTTGGAAAGAGGTTGGATAACTGGCACAGAGAAATCATGAGACTGAGAAGGAGCTATAGTTGCAACTGGGATTTGGTCAATTTCAAAAGCAGAAACTTCAGGAATGGAGTAACTGAGAGGAGGGCCAGTGTACACCATTGCAAGGGAGTACAGATAGCTGCTTATGCTATCTTCGATTTCCACAGGAACAAGAGGCGCTGAAGGCCTCAATTTCCTTAGAAGAGAAGCCATTTTCCGCTGTCCAAATCCAATGCCGACCCAAAAATAGAACTCACCACCCCATCTCAAAAGAACCAGTTTTGGGAAAACCCATGAAGCAAAAAATGCAATATCAGCACCCCATGAATGGAAAACAAGGAAACAAAGAGTAAAAAACTTGACAATAGAGACAGAGAGGGAGAGAGTTTTTCCTGTGAGAGCGATGACTTGGATAAGGAGGGAAGAGAATAGAAGAGAAGCAAAGAGGGAAGAAGAATGGTTGAATAGAACAGGAAAAGCAGTGAGGAGTGAGAAGGGTGAGAGGAAGTTTAAGTATCGGTAGTGGAAACGTTTGAAAGGAAATTACTTGGAACATGAACGAAAGGGCCATGAATTAGAATGTTTCAAAAATTGTATCAAGCAAAGAAAGACGTTTCTGATTTTGCTATCCAAGGACGACGATGTGAGCGAGCTTTGGAGTTTTCATATTATATATATATATATATATATATATATATATATATATTAGTGTTTAGTGTTTGTAAAACCCTTTTAAAAATCTTTCCTTCTTTGTTAAATCAGTGAATAAAGTAAATATAAAACAAAATCAATTTTTTAAGATTAATTCGATAGACAAGATTTTTTATTTAAATCAATGGTCAAGATTTGTTGTAAATGTTGGTGGCAGACAGCTCATTAATGTATATCTAACTGCTCTTTTAATTTCCAAATTTTAATTTGAATTTTAACTTGAAATTTTTAATTTGATTTTTGAATTCTGAATGGTGACAGGCAGCTCATTTAAATCTATGGCAACGAAATCTGGATTTTTATTAACCTGATTCAGTGGAATTAAAAAAAATAAAAAATTTCGTACTAATCAACAAAATCCCAACCAAAAAATTTCGTACTTATTTTTAAAATTTAAAGTTTGGATTTTTTTTAAACTTAATTCACTTTAATTCAAAAATTTACAATATTTGAAAAATTAAAATATTTTCTAATTACTCGAAATAACCCAACCTGCGGTTTAAATGTATAAATTTGATTAAAATATTTGTTCCTTATTTTTGCAATTTAAAATTTGAAGTTTTATTAACCTTGATTAAGTGGAATTCAACAAATTTCTGTTTTTTTCCATAAAAAAATGCAATTTTAAATACTAAAAACATCAAACCCTACAATTTAAATCCAAATCTAAAAAAAAAAAATGAATTCAAACTTTCGGTTCTGATTTTATAAAATTTAAAATTTGATTTTTTACTAATACCCTTTTCCTTCTCTACATTTTCAACAAATATTTTCAGTGGTATTCAAAAATTTACTTTTGTTTTCCAAAAAAAAATATTTCGTACTAATCAACAAAATCTCAACCTACAAATTTCGTACTTATTTTTAAAATTTAAAGTTTGGATTTTTTTAACCCTGATTCAGTGTAATTCAAAAGTTTACAACTTTTGAAAAATAAAAATATTTTCTAAATACTCGAAAGAACCCAATCTACGGTTTGAATATATAAAAATAATAAATTTGATTAGAACATTTGATCCTTATTTTTGCAGTTTAAAATTTGAATTTTTATTAACCTTGATTAAGTGGAATTCAACAAATTTCTGATTTTTTTCATAAAAATCGCAATTATAACTACTAAAAACATTCAAACCTACAATTTAAATTTAAATCTAAAAAAAAGAAAATAAATGGAATTCTAACTTTGGCAAGTTTGCTGACGTGTCGCTTTCTCCTTCATTTTCAGCTTTGTGTTCACACTACAGAATTTTAAAAACCTTTCATTCTTTGTTAAATCAGTGAATAAAGTAAATATAAAACAAAATCAATTTTTCAAGATTAATTCGATAGACAAGATTTTTTGATTTAAATCAATGGTCAAGGTTTATTGTAAATGTTGGTGGCAGACAGCTCATTAATGTATATCTGACTGCTCTTTTAGTTTCCGAATTTGAATTTGAATTTTAACTTAAAATATTAAATTTGATTTTTGAATTCTGAATGGTTACAGGCAACTCATTTAAATCTATAGCATCGAAATCTGGATTTTTATTAACCTGATTCAGTGGAATTAAAAAAAATTCTTTCGTTTTCCAAAAAAAAATAACAAATTTCGTACTTATTTTTAGAATTTAAATTTTGGATTTTTTTTAACCTTAATTCACTTTAATTCAAAAATTTACAATATTTCAAAAATTAAAAACATTTTCTAATTACTCGAAATAACCCAACCTGCGGTTTAAATGTATAAAAATAATAAATTTGATTAAATATTTGTTCCTAATTTTTTCAGTTTAAAATTTGAATTTTTATTAACCTTGATTAACTGGAATTCAACAAATTTCTGTTTTTTTCCATAAAAAAACGCAATTTTAAATACTAAAAACATCAAACCCTACAATTTAAATTCAAATCTAAAAAAAAAATAACTGGAATTCAAACTTTCGGTTCTGATTTTATAAAATTTAAAATTTGATTTTTTACTAATACCCTTTTTGATATTCCATAAGCCCTTTTCCTTCTCTACATTTTCAGTGGTATTCAGAAATTTACTTTTGTTTTCCAAAAACAAATATATCGTACTAATCAACAAAATCCCAACCTACAAATTTCGTACTTATTTTTAAAATTTAAAGTTTGGAATTTTTTTAACCCTGATTCAGTGTAATTCCAAAATTTACAACTTTTGAAAAATAAAAATATTTTCTAAATACTCGAAAGAACCCAATCTACGGTTTGAATGTATAAAAATAATAAATTTGATTAGAACATTTGATCCTTATTTTTGTAGTTTAAAATTTGAACTTTTATTAACCTTGATTAAGTGGAATTCAACAAATTTCTGATTTTTTTTCATATAAATCTCAATTATATCTACTAAAAACATTCAAACCTACAATTTAAATTTAAATCTAAAAAAAATGAAAATAAACGGAATTCAAACTTTGGAAAGTTTGCTGACGTGTTGCTTTCTCCTTCACTATAGAATTTTAAAAAACCTTTCCTTCTTTGTTAAATCAGTGAATAATGTAAATATAAAACAAAATCAATTTTTCAAGATTAATTCGATGGACAAGGTTTTTTTATTTAAATCAATAGTCAAGATTTGTTGTAAATGTTGGTGACAGACAGCTCAATAATGTATATCAGACTGCTCTTTTAATGTATATCTGACTGCTCTTTTAATTTCCAAATGTTGGTGGTCAAGATTTGTTGATTAGTACGAAATTTGTTATTTTTTTTGGAAAAACTAAATCAGGTTAATAAAATTCCAGATTTCGATGCCATAGATTTAAATGAGTTGCCTGTCACCATTCAGAATTCAAAAATCAAATTTAAAATTTCAAGTTAAAATTCAAATTCAAATTTGAAAATTAAAAGAGCAGTCGGATATACATTAACGAGCTGTCTGCCACTAACATTTACAACAAATCTTAACCATTAATTTAAATCAAAAAATATTGTCCATCAAATTAATCTTGAAAAATTGATTTTGTTTTATATTTATTTTATATTTATTTTATTCACTGATTTATCAAAGAAGGAAAGATTTTTAAAATGCTATAGTGTGAACACAAAGCTGAAAGTAAAGGAGAAAGCGACACGTCAGCAAACTTGCCAAAGAATGGAATTCCTTTAAAATAATAGATGACAGAAAGTTGTGTCATTTAAAATGACAAACACTAAACCCTAAATATATATATATATATATATATATATAATATGAAAACTCCAAAGCTTGCTCACATCGTCATCCTTAGATAGCAAAAGCAGAAACGTCTTTCTTTGCTTGATACAGATGGTAAAATTTTTCATTTCTCTTGGAATATATTCGATTTCGATGTAGAACTTGTAACATTGTGGTAATGGTTCGTTTTATATTTATCTGAACTCATTTTTTTATGGCAATTTTTCAGTTGCTGGGTACGCTGTGACCTTTGGACCCACGGATCTGGTTTGCTGTAGAACATTGCAGGGTCGTACAGGAAAGTGACAAACGCAACCCGCGAGCTTTTTTCCGAGCCAACCTGCGAGCTGATTATCGAGCTAACCCGCGAGTCAAATACACGTTGATTTGAAACATTTTAATTCATGGCCCCTTTCGTTCATTTTCCAAGTAATTTCCATTCAAACGTTTGGAACACGTCCACTACCAATACCTTAAACTTCCTCTCACCCTTCCACTTCGGTCAACTTGTTTACTTCTCACTCCTCACTGTTTTTTCCTGTTCTATTCAACCATTCTTCTTCCCTCTTTGCTTCTCTTCTCTTCCCTACTTATCCCAGTCATCGCTCTCACAGGAAAAACTCTCTCCCTATCTGTCTCTATTGTCAAGTTTTTTACTCTTTGTTTCCTGGTTTTTTGGTTTTCCATTCATGGGGTGCTGATATTGCATTTTTTGCTTCATAGGTTTTCCCAAAACTGGTTCTTTTGAGATAGGTTGGTGAGTTCTATTTTTAGGTTGGCATTGAATTTGGACAGCGGAAAATGGCTTCTCTTCTATTGCCAATTTCCTTACAAGAGAAGCCATTTTTCGCTGTCTAAATTCAATGCCAACCCAAAAATAGAACTCACCAACCCATCTCAAAAAAACCAGTTTTGGGAAAACCCATGAAGCAAAAAATGCAATATCAGCACCCCGTGAATGGAAAACCAGGAAACCAGGAAACAAAGAGTAAAAAACTTGACAATAGAGATAGAGAGAGGGAGAGAGTTTTTCCTGTGAGAGCAATGACTGGGATAAGGAGGGAAGAAAGAGAAGAGAAGCAAAGAGGGAAGAAGAATGGTTGAATAGAACAGGAAAAGCAGTGAGAAGTAAACAAGTTGACCGAAGTGGAAGGGTGAGAGGAAGTTTAAGGTATCGGTAGTGGACGTGTTCCAAACGTTTGA